AAATCCATGTCGGATGACTAAAATCCTTAACCCACCCAACCCAAATGGCGGGGGGAGGGTTTTCCAGCAGGACAAAAGGAAAAAGGGAGAGGTATTCTATTGCAAAATATGGGTTTTAAAACCCATAAGAAAAATGACAAAAATGTTCTTTAGTTTATAAAGATATTTTTGGGGGCTTTTTGCCTTTAATGATACAACAGCTAGAGAGAGATAGGAAAAAAGAGAGACATGCAATCCGGCCCGCAGACCTTTGCTGCGTGTTGCCCTCTCTCTCTCTCTCTCTATCATTCTTTCCACTGTCCTATTTCCCATGCCAACAAAAGACATCACCATCACCACTCTACTGCTGCTTTAAAACTTATTTCAATTCATCTGTGTAACGTTAACGTTATCTGGTTAGGAACTTGACACATTGTAATAAGATATAATAAGATATCAGGCCATTAAGTTACATTTACTTATTTGCCATAAAATTAATCCCTGGATGGACACTGGTAAAATGTTAATTCCATATTTGAGTACGCAATAAAAATGAGTCTAGACTTAATGTTATAAAAATAATGTTTATTAACAAATAAATGAACATTAACATTACTATAAAAACATAAAATTAACTTACTGACAAAAATGAACAAAAAACTATAAATAACAACTTGGACTTTGTGTCATTTGCCTCTCCCTGGTTTGTTCTGGTCTCTCTTTCACTTCCTGTTAAAAGGCATAATAATGTTAACAATACTTATAGCTCATAAATAATAAATAAATCGTCGTTACAATATACAGTATGATGATCAATATTATTTTTTCTCTGCCATATAGTTGTTCAAATTTGTGTGTTTTTTACATAGAAATGACTCATTCTTACCTGTTGAAACATGGTGAGTTGTAATTTCCAGCCGTCCGTAACACTGAGTCTTCACCATAATCCCGTCTCTCTGCAGTTTTATCAAAATTTCTCCCAAATCATTAGCCCAACATGTGTCAGTCAAACTTTGGTATGAGTGAAAGGCACGTCAGAGACAGAATCAGGATTATCTTTCTGCGGATTGAGATTTTATGGAACTTTTACTGCAAAGTGCAAAGTGTCCGGACAACCGTGAGACTATGTTGTAGCCCTCCATGTATCTCTCATCTCATCCTAGACACACGTGCAACCACTCATTTGAAAGCTGAGACCTGCTGAGATTAGCTTTGTATCATATCACTATAAATCCCACACTCGCGGACCAAACTGTCAGATAACGATAACCAGAAACGCAGCAACATACATTTAAAAATCAAACCCCTAATTTACTTTCGCTGTTTAGGCTGTTTTTCCTGCCAATACATCTCTTTTCTTTGCATTATCACGGTCTGCGCTGCCATTTTGTATTACACAATCCCTCACGTCAGAGCGGTGTACTTGAATACATGCACTTTATCGCATAGGTGGAGTGGGGGGTGGTTAATTGGGCTTAAGCCCAATCCTCGGTTCTTATCCTGCTTGACCTATCAGTGGTCTTTGACACAGTCAATCACAGGATCCTGCTATCCGCTCTCTCAGCAATGGGCATCTCGAGTAAAGCACTCCTGTGGTTCAAATTCTACCTCTCGGGGCGTTCCTACAATGTTTTGAGGCAAGGACAATTATCCTCCTCCCACTGCCTCTCCGCAGGGGTGCCCCAAGGCTCAGTGCTAGGGCCCCTTCTCTTGTCAATTTAAACCACCTCACTGGGGCCGATCATTCACTCGCACAGCTTCTCTTACCACTGCTATGCAGACGATACGTAACTCTGCTTTTCCACCAGGCCATCCCACCGTCTCGGCACGGATCATGGACTTCTCTCGGACATATCTGCATGGATGAAGGTTTGCCACCTTCAACTAAACCTCTCTAAGACTGAACTCTTGGTCATTCCAGCCGAGCAATCTATCCACCATAACATCAAACTACAAATTGACTCCACAACCATCACTTTCAACCAAGGTGGTGAGAAACTTGGGTGTCATGATTGATGACCAGCTGTCCTTTTCAGACCATGTTGCTGCTGTCTCTCGGTCATGCCGCTTTGCTCTATACAACGTCAGAAAAATCAGGCCCTACCTCACTCAGTACGCCACCCAGCTTCTGGTACAGGCCATGGTTATCTCTCGCATCAACTATTGCAATGCCCTCCTAGCAGGCCTTCCAGCTTGTGCGGTTAAACCCCTACAAATGGTTCAGAATGCAGCAGTGCAGTCTGGTTTTTGATCAGCCCAAAAGGATTCATGTCACTCCATTACTCAGTGACCTCCACACAAAGCAATCCCAGTCCCTGTTCTCATCTGTGACACCACGATGGTGGAACGAGCTACCACACGCCATCAGAGCAGGGGCGTCCCTCTCTAACTTCAAGAAGCTCTTGAAAACTCTGCAGAGAACACTTCCTCTGATAACACCTCTAACCTCTAACAAGCACTGCCTGTGCTCTTCTTCTTCTATCCCCTACATATTACCTTGTATTAATTGCACTTTTTTGTTAACTCTTACTTCCTTCCCTAGGTATTTACCCCACTGATGTGATATGTGCTATGAGCTCTTACTAGTATTTATTGCCGCTCTTACTAGTATGTATTGTCAGTTGTAGATCTGTGTTTGATGCTCTGTTGATGCTTGTATGTTGTTCCTCAAATGTAAGTCTCTTTGGATAAAAGCCTCTGCCAAATGAGTAAATGTAATGTAAATGAATGTTTTGTCAAAAGCCCCGGATCTTTTAGGTTTTTAAAATAAGTTCAACTTAGTTTCATTTCCTCTCTGTCTTTCCGCCTGGAGCGGCAAAACAGTGGAGCAAAGGCTCTGTTACCGTGGCGGCTGTAATGCATCTTTGAGAGGGTTTGCTAACCGCTAATAAACACTAAAGAAGAAGAAAAATATAGCTCTTCTTCTCTGTTGTCGTGATAGTGGGCATTTGTCTGTGTTGTTTCACTGGTGCCCCCTCAGTGAGCAAGCGAGCGAGCTGATGTTATGGACAAAGTTTTACGCGGAGAGGTAAACCTGACCGGCCACACAGAGAGAAGCAGCGTCAGACAGTGAACCGCGGACCTAAAGTGCTTCAGGTTTGTGAGTCCGCAGCTGTATCACTTGAGTTAAGTGACTGTATTTCTGGCTAGTTAGATGTTATTAGGAGATATTATCTCACTATCAGAGATGCTCGGCTGATTCTGAGGCTCGTTTCCCTCCTGTGAAGCGCACAGTTTCAATACATTGTGCCTGAGCTTGTATCAAATGATCATCTCGGGGCGTTTTACAGCTGATCTCGGAACATTAGTGGGAGAAGAAGAGAGAATGATTGAGAAATATGGAGATAAAGATTAGAAAGACATGAGAGTGTATGAGGACATTCCCTCCTGATAACAAATATACTAAGTAGCCTATAGGTATAGGCTACTAGGTAGGGCATCTACTGTAAAATAATTTAATATCATGGAAAAGTTAATTTTCTTCCATAATTTAATTAAAAAATATCATATTGTAAATATTTCAAGCCTTTTTTCATTTTAATCTTGATGTTTAGGGTTTACAGCTCATAGAATCAAAACTCTAGAATCCCAAAATTTATTAGAATTTCAGAATAAATTATTTATTATACAGAAATGTCGACCTGAGAAGAGCTCTGATCAGCTAATTAACTCAAAAGCTTTTTAAGTCTTTAATCTCTCAGTCTGTTCTGGTGCTCAAAATTAACTTTACTAATGTAACAAAAGTAATAATAGGCTAGTTTAATGAATATCACTGTCCAATCACATCACATGTCTGAATCTCATAAATATCAACCGTCAGGTTAGGGCTAACCCTGTTTTGACTTTTCTTGCACACATGAGACTAAAATTATTAGTGTCAGCAAGTTATGGTGGCGTTTGGGCTTCAGTCTAAAAGTGCTGCTATAAGTTAAACAGGCCATCAGATGCAACTGTGTTTGCTTAGCTTAAAGCCCCAAAGCTTCATAATGCTTCAGCATACTACTTCAAACGTGCGAAACAGGTGAGTCAGCTGGGGAAGAGGAAGGACAGGCGTCACAGCAGGTGGATTAACTGCACATTGGTGATCGAGGGACTCCAGAAGAAATTAAGGGGGCTTTCACACCTACCTTGTTTGGTCCGGACTTTCGGACTTTTCAGTTTGGTCTGAACCAAAAATACAGGTGTGAAACCTCCCCCGGACCATGGTCCGGATCAAACTGAACCACGGTTCGGTTCATTTCTGGTGTGAAAGCATTTTTTTGGATGGTTCGGACTTTCAGACCATTTACAGGAAGTTCGGCGTTTGCTGTATAAACCGGAAACAAACAAATGCACAGAGAAACAGTTTGTCTCTTTTTAGTTGCCAGGAGTGAAAATAAGTGATCTTCAACATTTGTTGTGTTTTGGATTAACTACAGCTGGAGAACTATTAAATAAAAAAGAGACTGGAGGCGCTACAGGAGGATTATTTTCCAAAGAAACATTCATCTTTTTTCCAGATAGTGTGTAGATTTTTAGGCAGTCTATCATCTCAAACAGCATAAAAAAAAGCCGGCTTAATGGGAAAAAATCGCCCCGGGGTTGTGTGGCCCCGGATCCCCCTAGGTTTGGGCTAAGCCCCGAATATTTACAACATCTTGCTCCGCCTCTGCTTTATCGCCATCTGGTGGCTGACTGATAGAAGCTACTACAACCGTGAAGCTTCCAGTCTGAGTATCGAACGTGTAAGTCCCTTAAACCTGCATTCTGTTGAACAGCCAGCAGGGGGCGACTCCTCTGGTTGCAAAAAAAGTCCGGCTCCATTAGAAATAATGGTAAAATGACCCTATTTCTCAGCTGATTTATTACCTCAGTAAACACTTTCATAATCTCATATACTAATTACTTTCTGGCCTATCAAAGGCCGAATTATGTATCTAGGCCTAATCATTTTGGGTATGTTATTTTAGGCGTTTTTCCTGATAATAGGGGCAAATAGCAGGTAGTTTCCAAGAGATTAATTTAGTGTCAGTGTTACTCACTCCGTTGCCATGGTGACGGCTGGTAGAGAGGGCTGCAGACAGTGAGGCTGAAACAGGTGTTGGTGTCTGGATGAAAAAACAAAAAGATAACTGTAACTATGTTTTCATTCATCTGCAATGAAGAAAATTTACACAATGAAATGATTCTCCGTCTCCATCAGACTGCTAACAGGAGCTCAGATGTTAAAGGAAAACTTCCATCAGTTACTAAAGATCACAGTTCACATGTGAAGCTAACAGTGTTTCATAGTGTTGGTGAAGCTGCTGCTTCCGCAACTGAACTCTGACTGTTTCTGCAGGAACAGTAATGAATGTGATGTCTCATTGTCTCTTTGGTTGAACCCAGTGTACTAAAAGAACAGATCTCTTCGACCTTCAACTCCATCAATGTGCATTATGATAGACTGGAGAGAGGTAAATCTAATCCTTATTGGACTAAAACCCAAATACTGTACTGTAAAAGTGGTCATCAAAATAAGTACTTGAGCAAGTAGCAAGTATAATTACTTAAATTGCGAGTAACTTAAGAAATAAGATATTTTTTATGTGGATGTGTCAATAATTTCAATATTTTTATAACATTAGCAACTTTAATATTTCTAAAATATCTTTTAATATTTAGCTAATAACCAAACCTGCACCTACGTTAATCACCAACATGCAGTGGTGGAAAGTAATTAAGTAGACTTACTCAAGTACTGTCCACATTAAGTAAGTCCACATTTGAGGTATTTTGTTATATTATATTATATATATACACATACATATATATACTGTATATATACACACAATCATGGTGTTGTGGAGCCTAATGGCTGATGGCACAGATGAGCCTCTAAAGCCCTTTGAGGCTCTGTGGCTGAAGGAGCTCCTGAGCTGCCTCAGTTCAAAATAGAAAGTTTGAGTGGGATTGGCCATGATGGTTTTCAGCTTCCCTCTCATCCTCCACTCTGTAACTTCCTGAACACTGTCCAGTTCCATTCAGAGCTGGCCTTACTCACCAGCTTTCCATTTTCTTTTTTTGCCACTCTATTTCTACTCAACCACTTCTCAGAGAGAGATATTGTACTTTTTATCTGACAGACACTAGTTAATTTTCAAAATTTAGATTTTCACACACAAAACATATGTAGACCTAATAAAATATGTTTGTTATAAATTAAACTAAGCCTACCCAACAATTTTATTTTATTTTATTTTATTATTTTATTACATTATTAACGCTGACATGTTCATGTAAAAACATTTGAAATAAATTTTAAAATTAATGTAGAAAATAATCCGGAGATTAATCCAGAATGAAAATGATCATTAGCTGGATAAAGATAATTAATAATCTAAAATATTAAAGTTTAACAGTAACTGGACATTTTTGTTTCAGCAATTAGTAATTTTACTAGTAATATTTGAAAGACATTTTCCTGATTATGTATAAAATACTTTTAGTTTAGTAACATTTTCAATGCAGTGCTTTTACTTGTAACAGTAACAGAGTATTTTTATAGTGTGATATTAGTACTTTTATTAAATTAGGGGATCTGAAAATTTCGGTCACCGCTGACACACACATACACACATACACACACACACACATACATACAAACATAATTAAGTAAATTGAATTATTATTAAAAGGGCTACTGTTTAATAACTGTTCCTTTGTTTAATAAATAGGGTTCTGTTCAACCAATCAATCAAGTTTTATTTAAAGTGCAAAATCACCAAAAGACATGGTCCCAACACACAAAATGCATTGAAATTAAATAAAATAAACCATAAAATACAGAATGCATGTAATAAAACACAGGATAAAATACAATCAACAATAAAATCGACAAAATAAAATGATAAAAACAATTTAATAATTTGAAGTCTGCACAATCCTGCCCTAACTAGAAGCCTTATCAAGTCTAGCTTTAAAAGTGGAGATGTTGTCCAACTCCCAAACCAAAATGTGGACCTGGTTCCATTATGGAGGCGCTTGATAACTAAATGCTCTTTGTCCCACTCTAACCTTAGTGACATTAGGCGCCACAAGCAGCCCTGCATTGTGAGAGCGCAGTGCTCTACTGGGGCAGTAAGGTATCAGGAGTTCCTTGAGGTACAATGGTGCTCAGTCACTTAAGGCTTTGAAGGTAAGTAGAAATTAATAGAAAAGAGAGAGAAGAGAAGTAAAACTGAATTGATTTCTTTAGTATTTTTACTACTTCAAACGTGCGAAACAGGTATTATTTTGTGGTTATAAAGTAATTGAAAATTTAAATAGAAGACTTCTGCTTTAAGTGGACTGATATTTAAGTCTGAGTTGATGGTACTCTGCTGGAAAACAAGTTTAATTAGTTGCTGCCCCAAGATAAGACAGTAAAGTATTTGGGGCTCTAAAGATTTAAGATCAACAGATTGATTGGTGCAATGCCAGCTGTAATGTGTTGTATGCGTTTTGTAATGTGGGTTGTGGTTCAGAGGGGGCTGAGCCTTAAGGTGCAGCTCCTGATTTACCGGTCAATCAACATTTCAGCCCTCAGCTGTGGCCAGGAGCTTTGAATAGGTATTGAAAGAATGAGACTGTGCATACTAGCAGATGAAATAAGGTCCCTTGGCAGGGTGTCTGGGCCCAGCCTCAGACTGTATTGACTTCAAATCAGGTGTTGCAGAGACAAAAACATTCCTCCCATTCGTTTGGATGTTGGTAGTACATTTAGGCTGCAGAGGATGCCAAAAATAAAGACAGCAGCCCTGCGGCAAAAAGTTAAGAGAATCAACTTTGGAGATATGCAACTGACATCAGGATGTGGTGGCCAGTCATCGCATGCTGGAAGATGTCCACGAGAAGAACTTTGTTTGATGAAACAGGTTTATTAAGTAGGAAAAACCATTTTGTTTTCGAGGGGCTCCTTAACCTGTCGCATTGTAGAATCTGCTGTTAACAGTAACTGTGAAGATGGAAAATAGACGAATGGTTGCTGTTCTGACTTTTCTAGAGTTGCCATTAGGGGGTACAAAGATATCACTTAGCGTTGCATTGCTTTTTAAGTTCGGATTTCTACTTCAATACACACTCCACCGCCACACATTCAATAATTCCACCCAACATTTGATTTGGTGTGAATACAGTCTTACAGACAGGGTGAGGCTCAGAGATGTTGAAGGGATCGCATTGAGGTGGTTCAGGTATCTGAACAGGTTGTATCTTTGGAGAGGCTGTGATTGCAATTCTTTTTTTCCATTAAACACCTGAGGCAAGCACTTTTTTTTCAGTAAATTTATCCAGATCTTCTGCAGAAGGAACTCAGTGGGATACACAGACGTCAGAGTGGCATCCCAGTGAGCTGTCCATGTCTCTGCACAAGCAGCTTTTATCCTGTGGGAGCACTACCGTACCACTAGAATATGTTGCCTTAAGGGGTCCTTGAGAGGACACTCACAGTAAAGTCAGTTACATTTCATTTCAGAAAGATATATTTATACATACTGTAAAATACAGTAGGACGTGACACTTTTGGATCCCCTAGGAAGAAGCTGCAGGATCTGGACGGTGAGAGGTGCATCTAAGCGACTTAACCTGTTGCCACTATGACTGGAATTGGATAAGTGAACAAAACCGGAGTGACAGATGGTACTGTTCAATGGGAAACTCATTATTAGTGTCAACTACCCCACAAATACAGTTTCCTCCCAAACATAAAGCTTTGCCAAAAAAAATATTTGCCTTTGTCAAGCACGACAGCTTTCATCATTTCCTTTCAGGATAATAAAACAAAGACAGCTTAACATACGGGTAAATGAAGATCATCTTTGTCCCATTTATACTTTGATAGAGTCTAAAACGCTGATGTTGGCATTAGAAAGTATTTCATCATTTCTTTTTCTAAGTGGTCTTACCTGTGTTGTTAGCTTCAGGAAGATCTGTGAGGTTGAGGAGCCAGGAGGTGTTTTTATTCTCCAACAGCAGAAGGGAGGGACGCTCAATGAAAACTCTCCTCCATCTAATCCACTTAGAAAGTTTCTGTGAAATCATGTGAACACAGAGCGTCCCTCCCTTCTGCTGATAGAGGATAAAACCATTTCTTGCATCCTCCGCATCAAAGAGCTTCTTGAAGCCACAACAACACAGGTAAGAACACTTAGGAAGAGGAATGATGAAATACGTTCTAATGTCATTTTAAGCTTTTTTAGACTCTAACAAAGCTTAAAATGCCACAAAGATTCATTGATAAAACTGATACTTACAGAAGTCTTCATTTATCTGTGTAAGTTCTATTTTCTACAATAATGCAGAAATTAAATGACAGTTTAATTAGCCTGACCTATGTGAAGAAACGTCCTGTTTTTAACCTACAGAAAAAGGTTTCCTTATAACTTACATAATTTTTGGATTATCAGAATTCTTTTTTTTAGCTTTTGCTCATTAGGGGCCTTTGTAAAATGTTTCATGCAAATCGATCTCACTGCCTAGTAGGAGTTTAAAAACATACAGGAAAAAATAGAAATGGGTGGGGCATGTATCAGTGTGTGACAGCATAGTATGTGAGAGTTACAGGCCTGTGGTTGCAGTTCTGTTGAATTAAACAACTTGAAGCAAACATTTGTTTTTCCTGTAGGCTTATTCAGTCATCTTTAGATGGACTCACAACAACTCAACCCCACTATTCAGCAGTGTGTGGCCACATAAGTAAGTGAAGATGTCTCAGGGAGTGCATTATTAGGGACCCAAGCAGCAAACAAGTTTAAGTTTTTGCAATAATTTCAAAAACAGCTACGTTTTCTTCTGCTCTAAAAATGTCAAATAATGTGATTTTTTGTCACTTAAAAACCTTTTTTTGCAAACTTGTCAAACACCACTTTGCCAATCAACCTGAAACTTCAAAAAAAACGCTCTAAAGTAATCAAAAGAATTTTGATACGTCAATCCTTTTTAAAATACATTTTTACTTTTGTGTCTTTTTAGGTACAATTTTTTACAAATGTTTGTAAATCAAAATTGCCTTGGAACGCGTGTTCGGAAGTTCAGTCTGAGTTTCAGTGAGCAGTTCTGGGAGATTGTTTCTCTAGGGGGCGCCATA